TCCTTTGTTGCTTTTCTCTCTCGCTACGTGAAGTTCCAGTTCTTTGGCCTTCTCACCAATGTTCTCTTCCAGACTGTCCTTTTCTCCTTCTGGGCTTGAGTCTCTGCTTCTCTCTGTGTCATACCCTTTGTTTGGAAGAGCTTTCCAGACTCCTTAAAATTCAGTTGGTTCACTTAGCCATTTAATAGCTCTTCTCTGCAGTCTGCTCCCACCCTCACTCTTAATGTTCAAGTGCATCTGTCCAAATTGCATTAAATGACAAACTAGACTGCAAGATGCTCAGCAAACCCCATCTCTTTATGTGTTTATTAAGTAATGAGTACAGCCAGAGCTGCTTAAGCACCAGCAGTGAACAAAAACATTTCTGGCTATTTTTTTTTTTTTTGTCTTCCATTTCAATGGGAAATGAAGGTGTGAGGGAAGAGAAAGAAACTTGTTTGCATTTAAGTCAGTCTGGCACTGACTCCAATTCAAAAGCAGCAGCACTGGGTAAGCGCACAGGTTCACAGTGAAACGAACCAAAAAGTCATCATAAACAGGAGTATGGTTAATTAACTGACCCTTCCCAACCACATGAATGAAAAAGCAAAAACTGACTAAAGCACATAATACTAAATATTCAGATTTTGGCAGAGATTGGAGGGAGGAACAAGGTGTTGCTGTACCTTTGCTGTGCATGCCTATAACTGCATTTGTAAAGCACTTGTTTTGCAAGCTTATTTGTTGTTTGAGATGGTCCAGACGGCTCGTACCATAAAAACATTCCAGACTGCTGGCAAGATCTTTGAGTGACTGTTCGATATGATCAGCCAGTAAGTTATATAAGACCCTCTCCCTTCTCACTTAAACCTCTGCAGAAGCAGCAGGAGTTTATGGGCTTTCTCCATGCAGACAAGAACAGGAGCCACAAGAACCTGTGGTTTCACTTGTTCTTGAGCACATCCTTAACCAGGAGACCTCTCTGCAGCACGAGTGATACCGCTGCTAGGGCAAGGGACAAGTATCCTGGGTATGCACATTGTATCACAGCTCTCCTGGGTCATGCAAGCAAAGAAATCACCAGAAATTAGATGTTTTGGGTCTTTTCTGTGCTTGGACTGCTTCAGGGGTATTAGTCAGTCCAGTATAAATGAAGTGTAGTGACAACATGTTTACTTTGTTTAATTATGTTCATATGGACCTACTACAAGTGGTTTCTATCTGCAGACCTACGAGTGGTCTATACATCACAGGTTGAAAGGCTAAAGAAGCCCAGCAGGAAAGTTCACAAATACACAAACAAACGCTATCAAAAACTTCGCTTTCCACAAAAGAGCTTGTAAATCACCCAGATTCATTCATTAGCAAGTCCATAGGAGAAAAACTATCATAAACGTTAAAGCAAGCTTGAGACTTTAATGCAGAGATGCTTGAAAGCCCCAATTTCTTTTTGTGGTATTTGTCCTATTCTACATGAGGAAAATGCATTTTTCCATGAAATTTTTTATTTCACTGATGAAGGTGAAGTTCTCTTGAGGAATCCATTTACTGTTAAACTGCAAAAATAAAATGGGAATTGTTATGTTTATGCAGATCCCATTCCCACAACTTCCATGAGCTGAGTGTTCCCTAGTACTATTCAGCTCTTTGGAGAGCTCATCCTGCTCAAGAGAGCTTCCAGTCTGAGCTTTTTGTGGATGCTTGGCCTGTATAAACCAAGCATTAAAGCCAGTCGTGCCACCCGCCTTTATGTAGCTGAAGGTCTGGCCCTTGAACTCCAGCAAGGCTGAAGCAGAATAAGCAGTTGGTGAAAGAGTTGTGATTGGGAGCTGGCATAGCCAGGAGCATTGGAGAAAAATGTGCAGCAGGCTGGGAATCATCCCGTCGTCCCCTTGCTGTCTGGGAGATGAAGTCACTCACGATCTCCTCAAGTGAGAACTTCAGGGCTCATGGGTGGCTGCTCTCCTATCCTGCACTAACACAGTTTTATGCTCTGAATTTCAGCTACTTGCTGCATAAAAATAGTATGCCTGTATAATTCAGGCTGTGATCCAAAAGTCCACCCCCTTCCTGACAGGAGGGATTCATCTTGGAGAATACCTCATACTTGCAGCTAATTCTGCTCACTTCTCACATCTCCCTCAAGTTCTCCCGCTTTGCTCCCCCTACACACACATACACATACACGCACGTGATAGCGCAGGGAGGAAAACGGGTAGGAAGGAGGGCAAGATTCCCATGCACAGGCTCAGGGAATGACAGGGAGCCAGCTCTGCTCCCACGCTGGCTGGCACGCGGCAGCTCCGAGGGAACGCCGTCTGCCAGCTAAAGGGCACGGCCAGCCCTCCTCGCACTCACCATCTGCAGCACGTGCTGCCTGGAAGCGCGCGCAGCTCCATCCTGCGGGGAGCAGGAGGAGAGGCTGGTCCCTGAGCATCTCTGCTGGGGCCTCTGTCCTCCTCGAGAGCTAGCGAGGCTGTGTTTTGGCCCTGAGGCTTGCAAGACAACTCCAGAGCTGTGCGCCAAAGCACGGGTGACAGTCACTGCTTGTGGCGCGGAGCTGTGGCAAAACTGGCACGTGCGTAGCTGCCAGCAGCACCGCAGGCTTAGCGAGGACACCAGCTCCCTCGTTTCCTTGTTGGACCGTCTGCTCCTTTCATGACCCTGAATTAGGGGCCCCTCCACTGCTGCTTAGCATCGCAGAGCGGTGGCGGATGCAGCGGGCTGCAGTGGGCCGGTTCTGATGCAGAACATCTCCAAGCGGTTGTGTCTGTCACATGAATGGAAGCACAGGCTGATCTTAGGCCTGCTCTGCAAAACAGATACAAGTAGATGGGCTATCAACAAAGCCTTTTAGACCGTATTTGGTCTGAATTTTGTTTGGCAAATTCAAAGTTAACTTATCTCCTGAGTAAGACAATTTTCCAAGGCATCTTTTGTAACATTTACACAAAAATTAATGGAAAAAACAGCTTATGAGGCATGCTACAACCTGCACTTTTTTTTCTCCCCTCCAGGGACATATATCTCTAGAAAAACTAACCACCTGAAAAACAAAACAGACTCTAAGCTAAGAGAAAGTGTTACTTCTCTTGTCCAAGTGGAGTACTGAAAAACATAAATAGCATAAGGAAAAAATTAACTGGATGTTAAAAATTCTCAGATTTCCTCAGGGAGTGACATCTGTAACATAGGAAAGATAATTTAACTAAAAAAGGCAAGGCTTTCAGATGTTGAGGCACTTGTCCTGTGTTTGATAGCCTGCATCACAGTACCGATTCTGTTTGGACGTTACTGGGCACTGACAAACACACTAACTTCCAAGCAGCAGACTGCTCCACTTCTCTGGCATTCCCCATGTTCCTACCTAACCCTGGTGGCTTCTGACCCCTTCCTGCAATTGTGGGGCCCAAATGCGGATGAGAACTGCCTGTGAAAACGGTTAGAAATAGGGAACTTCCATTTTCACCCAAGCAAACTCACGCTCTCCACCTAAGCAGGCAAAACACACAGCAACCCTGCAAAAGGTTGTTCTGAATGTAATAAACCTGTAATACAGGAACTGACAGGAGTTTTGCTATTTACTTTACTAGGAACAGGATTGGATGCTCTGTGTAATACTTCACACCGCTCCAAGTATTATTTATCTTACAAATGCTGCTCAGTTCATAGAGATGGTTGAAATGTTACACTGACATGAGATTGTAGGACCTCTCTTACTCCGATTATTCCTCCCAGGAGATTTGTGTTCCTGCTGCATCTCCGCGTGTGTGGGCTATGTGATATACGATAGGATTTGGCTGAGACTGTAAATAGCTGTATTATCTCAGGAGAAGTTTTCTATGAAAATGTGCAGGATATTAGCAGCTTGATTGCAGGAATGTTTCATTTAATGTGCAGCTGACCACTATGCTTTATAGAGCCTAGGATGCATCTTCTGAAGTGTCCTTGGGACCAAGCAGCGTGCTTTTGGGAAGTGTATATGAAATATAAGATGATTCAAAGGAGGTGGGAGAAGGGCTCCTCATGCTCAATAGGTGTGTGGATAGCAGGGCTGGGAACAACACACACCTGAGGGAACACCTGCAGACAGATGTGCCAATGCCACTCTTTCCAAAGGGAAACGCTGGGCTATTTAAAAGGGCTAAAGCTTTTCTCTGGAATATGCCTGCAGGCCACTTTTAAGAACACACACTATGGAATAAAAATGGCTCATACGTGTTGCATATGGTATAGCTCTTGGGCAGGACTTTAATTAGAAGAACTTTAAAGGCTTGTTGGCATCTTACAGAATTAAATCATTTAAACTATATGAGGTGTGAGGGGGGGAAAAGGGCTCTTTAAGTGCTGGGAATTACTCCTATGTCTCAGGACATCACTTTCCCCAGGAAAGGGCTCGGTGTGGCCGCACCTGCAGATATCTGACCTGGAAGCTACCGGGGAGATCTGAGATATGGACGGACTTTTTTATTTAAAACTTGTTTTGTTTGGTGCTAAAATCCTTGCATCAAGGCTCATGTCCCAGGTGCGAGTCTCGCACCGGCGACTCCGGACAGCCTCGCGCTTCCATAGGCGAGTGCCTCCCTGTGAAGAGGGAGGGATGGGGATGCAGAAGGGATGGGGATGCAGAAGGGATCCCCACCACACCACTCGGAGGCGCGTCGCCTGCCTCCCGATGTCTTGCGGAGAGCGCGTGGAGCCCCGGTGCTTCCTTAGGAAAGCGGTATGGGAACAGGCTCTTCCCGACACAACACGGGAACAGCAGGCACAAAAAAAAAATTGTTTGGGGAATCGCAGCCCCTAAGCGGCCTCGCCGGTGAGCGCCCCGCTTTAACGCCCGGGGAGCTGCGCCCCTCGGCACGAGGTGGGTCGGGGACCGTCCCGGGCGCGGTTCGCACGCGGAGCCCGCGCCGCGCAGCGACCGTTGCTCCAACGGCCGCTCGCCGCCGGGGAGCCGTTGGCGGCGGGCACCGCCGCTCGCCCGCCGCAAACTTTCCGCCGCGCAGCCCGGAGCGCCTTACCCAGCCCGGGCACGAAGGTGTTGAGGAAGAGGCAGATGACGGCCACGGGGAAGGGCATGTAGGGGATGGCGGCGCGCAGGGGCCCCTTCTTCTCGCGGACCTGCACCACCACCCCGCTGGAGGGGGCAGCGCCCCGGCTGGGCTCGCCGCCGGTCCCCGCCGCGCTCTCGCCCTCCTTGGGAAGCGGCTCCATGGCCGCGACGGGCTCCGAGCTGCTGTTGCTGCTGCTACTGCTCCTAGCGCTACTGCCGCGCGCGGGGCGGCGCGCGCCCCCGCCCGAGCGCGCCCACACCCCCCGGGGGCCGCTCCCGCC